GCTAACTTAGCTGTTTTTTACACCAGACACCATTTGTACTTGAAACAATGACTAACCACAGGGCTTTGCTTATACTTCCACTGGCCTGTAGCACTTTGCGTTTGTGAATCCTTTTCTCTGTATAAAACATATAAAAATTACATTTTATGACCACACTGGTATAAAGATAGATATATTAATATTATAGATTAAAGTATTTTCTTCTATCTAAAAGAATTAACTTGCATTTTCTTTTTCTCATTTTAAAAGAAAATGTTTCGGGCGCCTGGGTGGCTCAGTTGGTTGAGCAACTGCCTTCGGCTCAGGTCATGATCCTGGAGTCCCGGAATCGAGTCCCACATCCGGATCGAGTCCCACATCGGGCTCCCTGCTCAGCGGGGAGTCTGCTTCTCCCTCTGACCCTCCCCCCTCTCATGTGCTCTCTCTCTCTCTCTCATTCTCTCTCTCAAATAAATAAATAAAATCTTTAAAAAAAAAATTAAAAGAAAATGTTTCTGTGGACCCATAAAGTCCTGTGAGCCTCAGCAATGTTCCTGATGGAGAAGTTGGGCCTGACTAACAAACTATGGTTGTTCAGACTCGGTTATGTGCAGGGCCGAATTCTCCATAAGGCACAATTTTAATATCTAGTGTTAATATATTTGTCTTTATATCAATGCAGGTTTTTTGTTCGGGTTTTTTGGTTTTTTTTTTTTTGGTTTTGGTTTATTTTGTTTTGTTTTGTTTTTTTAATGGAGGAAGGGCCCAATGAATGCAAAACGCCTAAGGCCCACAGAGATCATAATATGTGGTAGGCATTGAACCTGTCACTTGAAGGAAAGTAACTAACATTATGTTGCCAATGATAAATTTGAACTTTCAAGCAAAAATTACAGTTTTGGGATACTTGTATTTTGCTGTGATAAGCTTAACAACAATAGAGTCTTTTGATGGTATCAGCGCTGATATTAAGGAATGTGATTTTCTGATATTGTACAATGAAAGGTGCTCATATTTGGAAGATAAGAAGAGCTATACAACTCCATTGAAACAGCAATTTTCCAAATGACCAATGTATGATTTTACCAAATCATGCCTGGCTAAAACATATATAAAACAGATATAAGACAGATTAATGGACTTTTATGTTACCAAGTTTATTGATCAGTTTCATATTCTGCATAGCAATTAACCTTTAAAAAACTACTGCTTCTTGACTTTTGGTGTAATATCAAAGAAGAACATACAAAAGCATCTGAGGAGGCTATTAAAATCCTCTACTTTTCCCCCAAATACATATAGCTATCAATATCTAGCTATCGTCTATGAAATCAGACCTTAAGGAAATGTGCAAAATTGGAAACAATGCTACTCTCACTCCTTTTTTTGTTTAAATAATAAATAGTTTTTCAGACAAATACATTATGTATATATTTTTATATATTTAAAAATTAATAAATTAATAATATTTAAATTTTTCTGCTTTAATTTCTAATAAAGCAAATTTTGATACCTACAACCTACACAAACAAAAGCTCTTCAGAGTCTTCACTAATTTTTAAGAGGATAAAAGTGTTTTGAACCCAAATAGTTTGAGAATGTCTATTGTAGAATAACTACCTGGTAAAATATTCAGAAAAGACTGTTAAGCTTGAGAAGCTGGTGACGAGCAGTAAATGCAGTAGAAACCCAAATACATTGAATATTAAATAGATGTGGGTACAAGAGCTGGAAGAAGAGTGGTGGTCCTCCCCTAGTGGTGTACTAAGGAGATTTTTATATTTTGTGCATTTTTATTTTCCAGGTTCCAGATTGTAGACATGCATTTATTTTGCAATTGGAGAGAAAAAAGCTGGTGAAACTCCCTGAGCCAGATTAGGTGAGGGTACAGGTCACCGAGGAGGTGAAAGAACAGGGCATATGAAATAAGGAGGAGAGAAGAGAGAGAGAAAAGGTGGAGCCTTCTGGAGAGAGGAGGAGAGAGGGCCTTTGCCTGAACAGCTGTGGGGGACAATATTGCCAGTGAGTTCTACGAGAACAGCGTACTGTAGAGTGGTATTGGGGGAGGGATGGCATTGAGATCACCTCTTGCGGGGGGTATAGACTCTAACCCATGGATGGCGGTGTGGGACTGAGTGGGGACAAAAAGACCCACTCTGCATTGGGGGACATGGAAGCCCGGATGGGCGCAGAGGGGAAACCAAACCCCCAGAAGGGGTCCTTCAGGCCTGAGTCACAAAAACTCAGGGCCTGGGTGAACCTGGGCTTGAACCCCAGTGCCTGCTCTCTCTGTGATCTCAGGCAGATTTCTTGGCTTCCAGAATCTATAGTGTCCTTATCTGTAAAATGAGAATAGAAATGTATGAGAAACAGCCTGCCTGCGGTGAGGGTGAAATTATGGGGCATACATGCTCTTCCCTGAGACAGAACTGATGCTGGGGTGGACGTGAATGAATTACTTCTTGGTCTCCTAGGGTTGTAGATTGGGATCTGTTGGACAGTCATCCTCTGCATCTGGCCTTGGTCATCACTGAGGACCTGGGGAAGAAGAAGCCTCAGGTCTGTCTGCTGCCAGGACACCAGCAGGCTGTAGGAGCCTCCCCCTCTCCACACAGGCCTGGCCTTCTCTTCAGCCCCAATGTTGTCTCTTGTTAAGGTTTCTGGGAGTACCTTCTACATTTTGGACCAGAGTCTAGATAGTGTGACAACACACCTAGAAGGTTTCCTTCTCTGGGAAGGAGTCTTGCATGGGCCTGGCACAAAGCAGTTGCTCAGCAAGTGCTTGTTGATTGAATAAATAAAGTCTGGCATCCTTCTGTCTTGCTGCAGCCCACAGAAGCCTCACCTGGTGGCTGACCCCTGCAAAACTGAGGGGCCTGCCCAAGGACCCAGGGAAGCACAAAGCAACAAGGCAGGCAGCCTCTGCACCTTCCCTGACACCCCTCTGTAGCTTCCCTGAGGGAGTCTCACACATCCTTAATGCTTTCATAGGGGACACAAAGAATACTCATTTCTCCAGTTTCATCTCCTATTACTCTCCCCTTAACTTATTTCACTCCAACCTCACACTCACTACTTTTTTTTTTTTTTTTAATTGAGATATGGGGCGCCTAGGTGGCTCAGTCGATTAAGTATCTGACTCTTGATTTCAGCTCAGGTCATGATCTCAGGGTTGAAAAATAAATGAAAAAAAAAAGTTTGCAAAGCAGTGTCCAATACTAGCCATTCATGTATTCATTAATCCAATTAGGTACTGAGGTCATACTTTGTGCCCTACACCAATGTGGGTGATGAAGATTAAGCAGTGAACAAAACAGTCAAAAATCCCTGCCCTCTAGGAGTTTGAAATCCAGTAGGGAAATAAAGACAAGAGGCTAAAGAGTTGACATGTCAGATAGTGTAAATGCTATGGAGAAAAATAAGGCAGGGAAGGGGGAGAGTGTAAGATGGGGTGGGGTTTCAAATTTTAGAGAAGGCCTCCCTGAGAAGGTGACATTTAAGCAAAGACCTGAAGGAGCAAGCCATGCAGATGGGGGAGGGGGGAAGTGTTCCAAGATGAGGAAGAGGAAGTGCAAAGGCCCTGAGGCAGCAATGTCTCTGAAGTGGCCAAGGACTAGTGTGTTCTTACTACAAAGAGAAATAATTATGTGATGTAATAGAAGTGGTAATCATATTGCAACACATAAATGTATCTAGTCAACCCATTCCTTAAATTTTGTTATAGGTCAGTTTATATCTCAATTTTTATTTTTTTTTTTAAGAGAGAGAGAGAGCGCGCGAGCCAGCATGGGGGTGGGGGGGGCGGAGGTAGAGGGAAAGACTCTTTTTTTTTTTTTTTGAGGGAAAGACTCTTAAGCAGGCTCCACGCCCAATGCAGAGCCCACAAGGCAGGGCTCGATCTCACGACCCTGACATCATGACCTGAGCCCAGATCAAGAGTTGGAGGCTTAAAGTGCTGAGCCGCTTTGCAAATTTTTTTAAAGTGTGAAAGCAGCATGGCGAGGGGAGGAGGTTACCACTGCTGCTGTAGGGACAGACTGAGATCTGGGAGCGATTTTGGATTAATTCCCTAATCTCTTCCCATCACCTGCAGCAAGGTACACTAAACTTCACAATTCTTCCGGTTCCGCGTGTATTATTATTTAAATTTGATCCACAGCTGGGTGCTGAGGTAGCTTCCCCATCGCAATTTGGCCAGGAAAGGGAAGGAAGTAGAAGGCAGGCCCCTATTTAGGTACCCTGGATGGGGCACTAACGCCTTCGGGCAAGAAACCAATTTAAGAATATATAGATGGGCTTTGTAGGGGTTCCTTCTCTTTCTGCTTGTCTGCGGTTAAAAAAAAAATGTGTGTGTGTGTGATAATCACTTTTGATGTCAGTAAATCCCAACTTGGGTCCAGTAGTGAACGTTGGCTGAATCAAAGTAGCTAACCGTTTCCAAGGGCAAAGCAGTTCCAGACTTCCGGGGGTCACTGTAAAGAAGCCCAGGGGAGCATGGTGTGCAGTAGTTGGTCATGGAGCAGAAAAGGGCTTGAGGGGGCTTGCACCAAAAGACAGCGGCAAGTTCTGAGGTGCGCGGAGGTTTGCATTGCTCGCTGGTAACAGCAATTACGCCTCCCCCTCCCCGGATTAACGGGAAGGCTTCTAGGGTTGAGTCAGCTACAGTCCCGTGCTCAGGCACACAGTAGGTGCTCAGTAAGTGTCGCTAGAGACGCAGGGGCTGGGGGCGCGCCGAAGAAGCGCCTCTGCGGGGGACAGACCCCTTCCGAGCGCTGGGCTCAGGGCGCGCCCGGGCTCGGGCCCGACCCTGCGTCTGACGTCCAGCCTCGAGGCGGGGTGCCCGCGGGCAGGGCTTCGGGGCGGCCGGCGGACAGACCGACCGACGTCCGGGCGGCGGAGCGCGGAGGCCGCGGCGCGCGCAGCCGCGAGGCTGGGGTCAAGGCCGGGGCGCCCGGGTGGCGCGGGAGGGGTGGCCGGACGCGCGGGGACGGCATGGGATGTGACGAGCGGCGCGCTGTGCATTGTGGGAATCCCGGGGCCGCGGCAACTGGTTCCAGTTCACTCGGCAGCGGAGCCGGGCGGAGGGGGCGAGCGCGCGGCGCGCGGGCGGGAAGCGAGGAGGCGGGCGGGCGGGCCAGCGACGAGCGCGGAGAGAAAAGGCGCGAGCGGCCGAGAGGGCACGGGCCGGACACCTAGCTGCTGCCGCCGCCGCCGCCGCCGCCGAGCCGCCCCGTAAGTGCCGCGCGGGCCCCCTCGCCGTGCGCCCGGTCCCCCGCCGCCCGGTCCGGTCGCCGCGCTCTTCCGACCGCGGGGGCCCGGGAGCCTGCGGGCCTGGCGCGCACGGGCGGCGATCGGCCGGGCTTGGGTCGCCGCGCTCCGCGTGGCCCACGCGGGGCCTCGCGCGCGCACGGCGCCCTCCCAGGCCCTGCCCAGCCGCGCGGGATTCTCTTTGGTTTTGTTCAAACAGCAAACCCGGAAGCCAACTTCTCTCCAAACCGTGTCCTCCGGCCCGCGCCTGGGCGCTTTTGTGGGAAGGCGACAGTGCTGGCCCCTCCCCCGGCGACCCTTCCCGGGGCGGGCGGGCGGGCTGACCCGGAGGCCCGGGGTAGGCCCCGCGGCGCTGGCCGGCCAGCCTGGGCCTGGGCGACCCCGGAGCTGCGGTGCGCGGAGTTGTACTTGGTGAGGCCCCCGCCCGCCGGCGAGTTGCCGGCCCCCGCACAATAAGTCGGGCCCGAGAGCCAGGTGGCGGTGGGGTAGGCGTCTGGCTCGGTCTCTGCGGAGAGGGGAGGCTTGGCCGCTGGGGGATACTCGTGGGATTGGAGCCAGGCAGGGCCCGGGCGGGGGTTGTCCAGGGACTGGCTGGAGAGGGGACGCGGGAACCCCCCGTTGCCCTCGTTCATCTTCTGATCGGCCTTTTGTTTGCTTTGTGGCTGGGAGTTTTTTTTTTTTTAAAAAAGGTAACTCCGGAAGGCTGTAGGCTCCCAGGGTGGAGAAGGCTGGGAGGGAAGGACTCGCTGGGGGTGGGGTGGAGTGGGGTGGTGAGTGCGCTGGATGCTGCTGGCGGTGTCACCTGACAACAGGTGTGCGGGGTGGCGCGCCCCGCCTCCACTCCTGCAGAGGCCGCGGATCACTCAGGGATCTGGTCAGTAGATTGGAAGGTTCTTTTAGACCAGATGTTAGGGAGAATATTGCTGAGTCTGAAAGCGAGAAACGTCTGTACGGACAGCTAAGACAAACTTTGAATTCAGCAACTACAATTACCATGAAATCCTTGTAAGATTTTAATGATCCAATAAACAGCATGTAAAAATAGACAATTAGAGGGGCATTCTTGTTAGCTTCTCTTTTTCTTCCACCTTTGTGGTTTGAGGTTTTACCGTTAAAGAGGGGGCAAAGTACTTTGTCCCAGGCTTCCTGCTCTGCGGACTAGGGGAATTTCAAACAGCTTTAGGTTTGAGTGGGAGACTCTAGTTGTAACTTAGGTGGAATCCACCTACTGCAGGCCTCCTTTAGTGTACCAGTCTGCCTTCAGAGGAGTTACTGGCTCTGAAATGGCCACCTCATGCCTGCAACTGGAATTTATACCCCTTGTACACAACTGAATAAAGTTGGGCAGTGTCATCCCAGTCTCCAGTGGGGATAAATTTGCTTTAAAACCTCATTTTTTTCTTAAAACCCCCCCAAAACCAAAAAACCCTTGAGTCTTTAAATTCTTCCCCCCTCTAGTTTTAGGAGGAGAGCGGGATATCTCTTCATTCTGTTATTTTGTTTTATAGCCTGTCACCATTGTTAATGCTGATCGCTAGATGAAGGCTTTAAGAAGGAAGGAGGAGTTTAAGTGAAAATTATTTGAGGGAGGGCCTTTAGAATGAGGAGTGGTCTGGAATATCACTGGTGACACTATAACACACAGCCGTAAGTCACTGGCGGGGTCTGTACCAAAGTGGCCAGGCGCAGGGAGTGGTACATCTCCGTCTGCCATTTCTTCTGGCCCTGGTGACAGCAGAACTCCAAGACCCCTTATCCCTTTCCCATAGAGAGGCTTCGAGTACATGAATTCTGGGACCTGTCTCTAATACCTTCAGAGCTAATGCTGCCTCTGGTCGTTTAAAGGTGATTTATTGAAATAAACCAAAGTGCAAACCCCAAGCTGGCAAAACACAATAAGAACCTATATATGCTATTGATCAGAATGACAGCAGCTTCTACTCTTTGTTGGATTGTGCCTTTGGATTTGTGTTAGGTTTTTCACAGCTCCATTCCTGGCACATATGTTGGGAAGGAGCAGGGGTGAGAGGGGCCCACACCTGTCCTATGGGTCCTCCCCACATTCTACCGTTTTAGAAGTACATTGGGGCCCACCCTAGCTCTTATGAGTGAGCCCAAGTGGGTTCCAAAGAGTTGTATAGCTTGTTTGCTTGGATCAAGCCTGCCAGACTGGTGTCTTACAGTCTTTCAATAAATAATTCCTGAGAATCAACTCGTGAGTCAGGCACTGGGGACAGGAGCATGATCAAGAAATGCCCAGTCCTCATCCTTGGGAAAGTGATGCAAAGAGAAGACAGGCAAGTGGCTGTTGCAAGGTTGGTGCAGAAGGCCACAGTAGCTCCCATGGTAGCCCCCAGAACAGTGACATAAGCAGAAGCAAGCCCGTCCTGGGTACAGAAAGGCCAAGTACGAGTTGGCTGGGCAAAGGAGGGCAGAAGCGGACAAGTGTTTGAGGTCTGGGGAACCCCACGTATGGAGTCTTAGAACAGTGAGAATAGAGGTCAGATGGGGGAACCACCAGAGGCTCAGGATGGCTGAATCCTGGAGGGAGTCAGGTGAAGCTAGAAGAAGCCACTGAAGGCTCTGAGCAGGAGAGAGACATGGCCAGATGTTCTTTATCCTTACTGGGAATTCTTCATCTATTCAACAAATACTGAATGGCTTCTAGATGCCAAGCCCAACCAACCGGGATCCTCCTCTGTTGAAGCTCACATTTAAACTTGTCCTTTGACAGCCTTCCATTGAAATGGTTATCTTAGAGTTTGGCACAACCTTTAAAAGAGAGAGGAGGTGTGAAGGAAAGCTTCCTCTTGAAGTAGGAAGATAGTGCCTTGCTATTGAAATGTAGTGCTGGTTCCTTCAGTGCAGCTCCTGAGCTTGGGGCTTTTACAGAGGTGAAATTGTAATCCCAGACTAGCCTCCTGTAAACTCTTTCCTGAATAACACCTGTGTTGGCTTCTGTTTTTTCCCCACCACTAAAAACCTAACACACGAGGAAGATACGTATGCTGGAACAAAATTTGCAGTTTAGGATTTATTTATTATCTCAATTTGTCCTTCTCTCCTTGTTTGTAATTCCTTGGTTCATTGAGGGTAGACTGTAAGTTCTTTAATCATCCGCTCACTTGATGATGTAGTGTTTTATGAATGGAGAGAGATGTTTTTCCTGATTGGCTAGAGTACCAGAACAAGTCTCTCTTCTCAGCCAATCAGAGGGCTGTTTCTGAACCTCAGCTCTGTGAGTGATAGTTGTGTATTAGATCCTCATGCCTCTGGGGAGTTGACAGCAGTGATACTGTTAATCATCTGGTATGATAGGAGTAAATGGAAGAGAATGCTGTAAACAGGATTAGTGTCCTATGCTTCAGAATTAAGTGCCTCAGGTTTGCTGTCATGATTGGAGTTGATGGGAAGGTGGCAAATGCATGTGGACATGTGGGCATTTATCCAGCTGCAGGGAGTGGATGGTGCGGTCCTCCCTTGGCAACAGTGACTTAAACCACAGATCGCTCAGTTTCCCCTCATCCTCGGGTGCTGGAGATAGGGCCCGTCTGACTAGCAGCTCCCCAGCAGTTCTGGTCAATATTTCATTTGGGATCGATATGCACGAATTCACTGCTTAGATAATAAAAGACTTCACAGTCGCCGGTTCCAGTGGTTTTGTAAGTGCCCTGATTATAAGAGTTTTGTATGCTGTGCCTTAGCAGAGGTCAGTCACTTGCAGATGTGAGGAAGGTAAGTATTTCCCTCTGGTCTCTTTCGTCTTTTACTGAGCTAGTCTCGTGGCAAAAGAGGCGGCTGGAGCCATAGAATTATCAGGGAGTGGGAAGGCCTCTTCGTGGCTCCCACCTTAGCTGTCGGGGCAGTTGTGGTATTCCCTTCCTGGGAATGCGTAAGGTGGCCCCACAAGCTCGCTGAATTTCGAGGGTCTGAGTTCCCACAGGGATTGGCCTGGTATGTGTCCACAAATGGTCTCACTGAAGGTCCCTGACTGGTGTCCCACTTGCCACATCTCTGAGTCCTGTGGCCTGTGGCCTTTGGCAATGCTGCCCTCATCTTTTGTCAAGAGAACCCCATCCACTGTAAATGCCCACTAATCAGTCACCATCCAGCCAGCATTTGAGAGCCTACCAGGTAATAGGCAGGGGGGTGGGGTCCTGGAGGTACACTGGTGAGCAGAGCCGACTGATGCATCCCATCACTACAGACGAGGAAATTGGCAGTGATGATATAGTATAGCAACTGCTAAGGTTGAGGAGGTCGGTTTCAGACTATTTATATACATTGGATCTAGAGTAGCAGTCAGGTTAGAAGAAAGGCCTGGAAACTGCATCTGCGGAGCACTTTATTTTTATTTATTTATGGAGATTTTATTTATTTATTTATTTATTTGAAAGAGAGAGAGAGAGTGAGCACGAGTGGAGTAGAGAGGCAGCGGGAGAGGGAGAAGCAGGGTCCCCGCTGAGCAGAGAGGCTGACTCTTGGGGCTCCATCCCAGGATCCTGAGATTAATACCTGAGCCAAAGGCAGACGCATAACTGACTGAGCCACCTGGGGGCCCCTACAGAACCCTTTATATAAGATTGAGCTGAGCTCAGGGGCCACAGCAGGAATGTCCACTGAGGAAACAGGAGCAGTTTGGCCTGGTGGATACTTTGTTGCTGGAAATAGGGAGAGAGGGGCTGTGGGACCTTGCGTGCAAGGCTGGAGTCTGGGCATAGGGCTGCCCCGAACTGGACTGTGACTGGGGGGCACAAGGCACAGCCCCAGCAGGAACACAGAGGAGGGAGCCACGTGATAGGTCTGCATCACCAGACCGCTAGGTAGGATCGCCCCAGACAGAGGGCTGGAGAGGGTGTTCTAGACTGAGATCGATCGTGGCATGTGCTGAAGAGTGAAGGTAGGAATGAAGGCGGTTTGTAACGCAGCGAGGACCCTGCTCGGGTGCCCTGTTGTGGGGGAGC